TCTCTTTCCCCTGCAGCTCCAGGGTCTGTCCCGGCGCTTCGGAGGCTTTGTGCTGCTCCAGATCCTCTGGGAGTGGGCATTAATCTGTTAATTGGATTTGAGGTTGTTTTGGGTAGGTGCTTCCTGCCCAGCAGAGCTGTGGATATGGATCCCACAGGTGCCCAAGGTCACCGTGCAGCCCCGAGGGGCATCGGGCACTGCTGGTGGCTGGGTGTGGTTTGGTGCCCAGGGGGACACAGAGCTCCAGGAAGTCTTTTCCTGTGATTTGTGGCAGTGTCCCTGCTGTGGAGGTGAGCTCCTGGCTGGGAGCAGAGACCTTTTTGGTGATCCTTTAAATTTGGGCTTAATGCACCTAACACCTTGTGGGAGACAGCTTTGTGCTGGTGGAGGAAAGGAAGCTGCAGAACGGGCTTGCTGAGCGTGCAGAGACAGAAGACAGCCTCTGAAAGCCTTCTGCTGTCTCGGGATGGGGCTTTTCCACTGCCTCCATCCCTGCCATGAGGAGCAGACGGCCAAGGCTCATTCTGGCCAACCTGTGTTCGGTACGTGGTGGTGGAGGGCTGAAAATGAGGATCTGTGTGGACCCTGTGGCCTGGCTGGGGCTCCCAGCGTGTGGCAGATGTGTGTCACATCTGGGCTTCACCTTCCCCGGTGATGGTGACACCTTCCAGGCTTCCCACCCGCCGTGTGCCCTGCTCTGTGCTGGGGAGGATCCTGCAGGGGTGCTCCCTCCTTTTGGGGGATGCAGGGGTGCTGTGTGTCCGCCACCCCTCAGCAGCAGGGGCAGCCTGGCAGGCCTGAGCAGGGGTTTGAGCCGGGTGTGTGGCCAGCTCCAGCTCCTGGAGGTGTTTGCTCCCCCTCTGGAGCTGCCAGCATCACACGGGGCGGGCTGGGCAGTGTGAGGGTGTTTAATTAACCAGTGCCACCAGTACAGCTCCTGGCACAGCACTGGGGACTCGCTGGGCTGTGCATCCTGGTACAGAGCCAGGACTGGCCCCATCCAGGGGGGCTGTGGGGAGCACACAACATCCCAGGCTGTGATGCATCCCTGCTGAAAGAGTCAGTGGCTACTGCCCAGCTTGAGGGGGCCAGTTACTGGGAACCCAAGCCAGGGTGCCTTGGGAAGCTTCTGCTGCTCCTTTTACCTGGTCTCTTTAAAAACAAACGAGAAATGCCTCGAGCAGTGCCAGGCGGGGCTGGAGCAGCGCTGATGAATTAGAATTATCAGCACATCGCCCAGTCCTCTGGGGCTGGCAGAAGTGAAACCGTTGTGGAGAGGAAAGGGATGAGTCAGCGTGGAGAAGTTGATTGTTTCCCCAAGCTGATTCTTTCCCCACACTCGTCTCCTTCCCCCTGCACAGGGCTCCTGCTGCTGCCACAGGCAGCTCAGAGCCAGAGCCTGGGCTGGGCTGGAAGAGCTCCTTGGCCCTGGGGAGCTGCTCTGTGCCGGGTCTGTGAGCCTGGGGCAGACTCTGCTGCTCCGAGGGAAGAGGAAAATACACTGTAGAAGTGTTCAGTGGGATTGCTCAGGCTGGAAAAGCCCTCAGGATCACTGAACCCACCATTAAACCGTGCCCCCAGGTGCCACCTCTGTGGGCACCTTACATTTGGCACCTTACATCAGGTCCTCAGCACCGAGGTGTTGTGTGAGCAGGGTTACTGCTGGCTGGTTTTTAGGGAATGTGCCCAAGTCCTGACCCCAGGAGCTGGGGCAGCCACGATGCTGCTGGTGGGAGATGGTCCCCTGGCCAGGGGCCACCATCTCCTGCCACCCTTGCAGGACAGCCCGGGGTTGCTGCAGCCCTCCCCATGTTCTGTCTCTGAGCAGTTCTGCTCCTTGATTAATGCATCGTTGGTGTTTTTATTAGAAATGGCCCACATCCTCTTTTAGAGGGGGAGTCAAAAAATAACCTTGAGTCTCTGACAGCTCCAAAGCAAATCCTTGAGAGCTGGGCTCCCACTGCTTCACCTTCTGGAGGGGCAGCTGGGCCAGCAGGGACGGGAGGGATGTGGAACAACCTGTTTGCCTATTGTGGGCTGGGTGTGGAAGGGAAGGGCCCACAATAGCTCCTATAGTTCTTCTCCCAGAACGATACTGTGAGTCAGCCGTGAGCAGCAGCTCCTCCTCCCTCCCCGTGAGCTCGGCAGCCCCGGCTGCCTCCTGCCCTGCCCGGCTCTGTTTGTCCCCCTGGCTGCAGCTGAGATGCTGCACCCGGGCTTCTCCACCTGGAGGATGTGTTTTGGCAGCTCGCTGTGCCTCACACGGTGACCTGAGCTCCTGTCCTGCTGCCCGGTGGGAGTTCGGCTGCTTCATCTACAAATCCCTCTGGCAGCTGATGCAAACCGCCCCTGGCGTGGGTGGCTGTGCTGCTGCCAGCGCTCCCAGCCCTGCCACCGGCCCTGTGGGGTGGTCCCCCCACACTTTTACCGTGCTACCCCTGGCACAGTGGCACAGGTTCTTTTCCAAGTCGGATTTTGGACTGTTTAGGCTTTGCAGCTGCCGTGGTATCCCTTAGTCACAGTTTAAATAACCTCATCCCTGCAGCTCTGGGCTGGGTTTGGGTGAGATGTCTGTTGGTCTCCCATGGTCTGTAGGGTTTTGTGAAGGTGTCGGGGTGGCAGAGGTGCCCTGTGGGAATTCGCACCCTGCTGCTGCTGCTTTTGGGGGATTCAGCTCAAATCCTGCTGGCCAGTTAGGCTCCAGTGGTGGTGGGAGGCCTGGAGCTGGTTCCTTCAGAGGCAGCTGGGGACAGGCTCAGGGGGAACTCATGAGGCTCTGGGCAGGCGTCCAGCTGCCCTCCTGCCACCTCGTGGTGCTGGCTGAGGGGTGATATTCCCCCCCACCCTCAGCCCCCTAAATTATCAGGCTAGCCCAGAGATCCAAGGCTTTGAGGGGAGGAAAGAGCCACCCTTGCACTGATACCCCTGACAAAGCCACCTCGGCGTGACGCCAGGACTGCTTGCAGTGGGAATTCACTTCCCACCATTGAGCAGGAGCGGTTTCCTGGCGGGGCTGAGCCCGGGCCTGGCCCTTGTGGCCCTGCAGACGTGTGTGGTGGCCGGGCCTGAGGGCCCTGCTCGGCCCAGCGCCTGCAGAGCCGGCTGGAAGGGCACGGCTGGAAACCTGGGCGAGGAGCAGAGCTGTAGCTCTGCCCATGGGCACCCCCAGCTCTGCAGGACACCCCGGGCACGGCCTCGCTCAGGGGCACGGGGCCCTGCCACAGCCGGTGCCACAGCCGGTGCCACAGCCCACCCTGGCACCGCAGCAGAGGGGCCAGTGCCTGCCGAGGGACGGATGTGAATATTTGCAGGAGGGTTTGGGACACACTGTGTGGTGCAAAGTGCAGATTGCTCCAGCCAGGAGAGCACGGCAGTGTTGAGGTGGGTTGTTCCTGCTCAGCTGTGGGTGTTGGACCCCCATGTGCCCAGGGACAGGCTGGGGCTGGGGCTGGCCCAGCTGCGCTGGGGGAGGCTCCCACTCGTCCCCTTGCCCCAGTGAGATGCTGGCTTTCATGTACAAACAGCTCCACAGAGGTTGGGAGCTTCTTGGGAAGCTACAACCTGCCGTGCTGGAAGGAAAAGCTTCCAAAGTCAGCCCTGAGAAGAGCTGAAAGAGCTGGGCTGTCCCCAAGCTCACTCTGATCCAAAACCAGGGCTCTTAGTGCTGGCTCTGTTCCTAGAAGATGCTCCCGTGTGTGTGTCTGGCTCCAGGCACGCTGAGGCTCCTGCTGAGCCAGAACACTGCCCTTCCTCCAGGAACAGCACTGGGTGTGGGGCTGCAGTCCTGCACTGGAAAAGAAAAATTAAAGGAAGTGGCAGAACAGAGCTGGGATTCCTTGGCTGCAGTGGGGATCCCAGGGCTGAGCCCTGTGTCCTGTGCCCTGCTCTGAGCACCAGGGCTGTGTCTGTCCCTGTGCTGGCCCAGGGGAGCAAGGGCTGCCCCTGGGGTTGGGGTCCTGCTGCTCCTCCTTGTTCCCCCCCACCTCACAGGGTTGACCTGTTTGTCCCAGTGTCTCAGGTGAGCATTGGCTCACTGCAGCTCCCCAAAGGTGGGCACGGGGGTACTCCAGGAGTCCCCCTGGGTCTGGCTGGGGACCTCTCCTTGCCAGCAGGGCACTGCCTGCCCCAGCCCTGGGGTGTCCCCTGAGCTCGGTGCCTCAAACCCTCCCTGTCCTGTCTCTGCAGGGGACGTGCTCTTCCAGATGGCAGAGGTGCACAGGCAGATCCAGAACCAGCTGGAAGAGATGGTGAGTGCCCAGCCTGGCGTGCCGGGGTCCCTGGCAGTGGAAAATGCTTTTCCATGCCTTGTCCAGCCCCTCTGCTATGGATTTGCTAAGCTCCAAAGAGTCTGCATTGCTTGGGCATCCTCTTCAACCCCACTGGGCCTCGCTGAGTGTGTCCCTTGCTGCTCTCAGCCCGTGCAGCCCCTCTCTGGTGCCGTCCACTGCTCCCCGGGCGGGCTCTGCCAGCCTCCACAAGCACTGTGTGTTTCCTCTCTCCCTGCAGCTCAAGTCCTTCCACAACGAACTCCTGACGCAGCTGGAGCAGAAGGTGGAGCTGGACTCCCGGTACCTGAGTGTGAGTTATGTGTGTGTGAGTCTGCACAGCCCGGGGTCCCCGGGGCTCCCCCATCCCCTGCTCCCTGCTGGGGGATGTGCCGTGCCACAGCTCCTGCCCCGGGTTGCAGACGGGTCCCTGGTGTCACTCATGTCACCGTGCACAGGCCAACGTTGTCCCCTGTTTGCTCTCTGGGCCTTGGGAGTCTCACTGTCCCAGAGGCTCTGCCTGTTTCTGTCACCCCTTGGCAGCAGGAGCCGCGGCCCAGGCTCACAACTTTCTCCTGTGGCATCCAGGCTGCGCTGAAGAAATACCAGACGGAGCAGAGGAGCAAGGGGGACTCCCTGGACAAGTGCCAGGCAGAGCTGAAGAAACTTCGCAAGAAGAGCCAGGGCAGCAAGAACCCGCAGAAGTACTCGGACAAGGAGCTGCAGGTAGGGCTGGGGGGACACGAGGGGCATTCAGTGCTGCCCATGGGGTGGTGGGGCTGTGGCAAAGCCCTGGGTAAGGATTTGCTGGGAGGGGGTGGCAGCCAGCGCTGGCACGGGCTGTTCCCACAGCCACAGTGCAGAGCGGGGCTGGAGCTGCCTGCCTGCCCCTGCTCCCACTGCTGTTACCCTTTGCCTTCAGGAATGGCCCCCACGAGCATGAATTCCTGCTGTGCCTGCTCCATCGTGCCGGGAGGGGGTTTTCTTGTGTATTTTCTGTGCCTGTGCCCCTTCCCCCGCCCGCGGGGGCGATGCCGGGGGCGGCCGCGGTGAATCAGAGCGGTGTGATGCGTGTGATGCGTGTGGTCCCACCCGGGGGTGGGCACGGGGGGAGTCAGAGCTCCCCACCGAGGGGGAGCCAGGCTGAGGGGCACCCAGGGCACGTCCTGGCAGTGCCGAGGGGCTGTGGCACTCCTGGTCCCGCTCGGGTCTCCGATGGATCCGCAGCAGGAGTTGCTGCCCCCTGCGCTCTGCGGGCTTCCCTGGGGGCTTGGCCCATGCAGGGATGTTCAGCGATTGCTGATGCACCAACGTGCCCTGGCTGGCAGGGAGGAGCTGCTGCAGGAGCTGCAGCCACAGAGCCATGGAGGCACAAGGGGAAGATGAATTCCTGAAGCCAGGAATTGTTTAGTCCTCTCTCCAAGGCAGGAGTGCGTGTGTTGTGTTGGGACCAGGGTCTGTTTTTTCACATGTCAGAGATCTGTGTCTGCTGAAGGAGACCTGGACACTGGTGATGGCACTTTGCTCGTGGGGGTGAATTTGATGGCATTTAGTGGGATTTAGTCTCCAGCAGAGCGTTACAGTGGGGTTTGTGCTGGGGAAGTGACACCCTTAATTGCACTGAAATTTGGAAATGCTGGTGTGAATCAGAGCAAGCACTGAAGGAGAAGAATGCAGCCACCATCATCTGCTGTGGCTCAGCCTGGGGGTCCTGTGTGGAGCCAGAGCTCTGGGAAGTGCTGGAGCAGGGCTGGGAGGTGCTGGAGCAGGGCTGGGAGGTGCTGGAGCAGGGCTGGGAGGTACCAGCACACTCCTCCGTGTCCAGCCTGCTGTGGTGGAGGCTCTGCTATTCTCCAGAGCAGCTGAAACCACTTCTGAGCATGGTGTCTCCACAGGTCCCAGCTTTGCAATTCCTGCTGAGCAAGAAAAGTCCTGTCAGGCCCCGAGCCCAGCGTGGGGGGACACAGAGATTAAACCTCTGTCACCCCCACCTGTGAGAGCTGCTGCCAGAGGTAGCCCGGTCCTGCCAGAGCCTGGGGCAGGGATCCCCATCCCACAGGAGCAGGAGGAGGAGGAGGGAAGCCATCCCAGCTGGGATGAAGGGTGGGCTGAACCTCCTGCTGTGATGTTCAGGGATGGGGCACTCCTGTTAGCACAGCTCTCAGGGCAGGGAAACAGGATCAGAGCTCATTGCCTTTAATCTTTCAGCAGTGAGTATTTAGGAAGTGCTTATCTCCAAAAAAGCTTTATGATGGCTTTTGAGCTTACAGAGCTATGAGACCCTTCCAGCTCAGAGTTTTCTGTGATTCCGTGGCTGCTCTGCTGCACTCGGCAGGGGTTTGCTTTGCCTTAGATCTAACCACAAAGTTAAAATTGCTGAATGCAGCCAAGAGGGCACTTCCCCTCTTTTCTCTGCTGACTGCAGAGCTGATGTTTCCTCAGCAGAAAAATGTTTTGGGTTAAAACCCTCGACACTGTCTTAGCTCTGCCTGGGTATTGGAGAGAGGGGGGAACTGCAGTAAGTGGTGTCCAGCCTGGAACTGTGTGGGTGTTGGTGCTGGCCTGAGGGAGAGAGCCTTGTCTGGGGCTTTGGGGAGCTGAAAATGGGCTTTGAGGAGGTGAAAATGGGCTTTGAGGAAGTGAGACCAGATTTGAGTAGATCAGGAGCATCTGCAGAGCTGTGTGGGGCTTTGCTTTCTCCCACCTGGTTAAAGCAGAGCCACGGGCAGCTTGGTTTGTTGAGCTGGCCCAAAGCCACCCCTGTGGCCACTTGCCAAACCTCTGGTGGTCCCCTCGGAGCTGCTTAAGCAGCTGGGGATGGTTTTGGGATGCTGACAGCTGCGCCAGAGTGGTGCCTGGGGACCACAGACCCATTAGCCAGGGCTGGCTGGAGTCTCTTAATGGGCTGTGGCTGGTTCCTTCTCTCCTCGTGGGAGAAGCTGCTGGAAGTGTCACCTCCTTGTAGGCAGCAATGACATCTTGCTCTTCTGAAGGCTGGTTCTCGTGAAGCTGCTGGAGCAGCCGCCAGCCAGGAGTCTGATGCTCTGTCATCATCTTCCTTCATATTTAATGCTCCAGGAAGCAGGACTGCTCCTTTCTGCCTCTTCACCACTTGTGGAGTGACCACATCTTGTCATCACCTGCCAGGGAGACGGGTGGCTGAGACACGTGGTGGCAGCAGCAGGACTGTCCTGCAGGGACCTCGGGGTTTATGTAACATTTGTCAGAGTTGAGAGCAGGTTTGGGGCCACCCAGGCCCTGCTTTTGGCAGAGGACAGCCCTTGGCTAAATCAATCAGAGAGCCCAGTGCAACAGCCCAGACATCTCACCTGTTCCATTCAGCTGTTCCGCTTTAGAAAGCAGAAATAAATACTGGAGCTCAGCAGGGACTGCTCACAGCAAAGGCTGGGGAGCAGAAGTTTTGGAGGAGGGGGTTCAGGGTGTGTGATGCTCACAGGCTTCTCCTGAGCTGCACCAGCCCCTCTTTGCACCAGCTGGTCCAGCTTGGTCTGTAAGTCCCACATCACCTGGCCCCTGTCCTCCTGCTGGTTTTGTGGAGTTTTCCAGATGAGGACGAGTGTTGCAGCATGAAGTGGCTGAGGAGTTAAAACACCTCATGGTCTGCAGCCCAGACTGACATAGCTCTAAACCAGCTCCAAGTGGCACCAGGCTGCAGGAGTGGTTTCCCAGCCCCCAAGCCCTGTCCTGGTCAGGGGCAATGCTGTGGTTGGGGGTTGTTGCTGCTGAGTGTCACAGTAAGCCAGGCTTTTATTCCTTGTGAATCAGTCCCAAGCTGCTGTTCCACACAAGGAGTGAGGGCTGAGAGCCTCATGTGCCTCATCTTCCTCGTGGAGTAACTGAGATGGGGCTGACCTGTGTTGAAAACCGGGAGAGCAAACCAATTCCATTCACTTCACATCCCTGATGAAGAAGAATGAAAACAATATTAAGATTAAACAATCGCCAAGGAACCTCAAGTGCTGTAATTTCATTAAAGGCTGGTTGTGATCAGGCCATGAAATCAAGGTCATGATGAGTTTGGGACCTGGATTGAATCAGCAGCTCAGCAATGAAGTTATGTTGGTTCAAAGTATTTATCAAATCATATTAGCACTGTGAGCAATTGGATTTCTGCATTGGGCTGAGACAAAACTGGCTGTAATTCAGCCTAAATAGCAATGCTGGGGCTGGGTGTTTGTCCTGAAAGGCTGTGCCTGACCCAGATGACAGTGGGTGACCCTGGGTGGGCAGTGGGGGCCGAGCTCAGCCTCTGCCTTCACCCACCCCTGCTCCCATGGGAATATTTTAAACATTAAATACCACTGTGCCAAATAACCTGTGGGGTGTGGGGTTTTATCAGCTTTTGTCATTGAAACCTCATTTGGATATTCCCATCAGGAGAAATAATTTTAGGTGTAGGTCAGGAAGCTGCAAATGACACAGAGCTTGCACAAACCAGGTTACGAGGTTTATGTGAAAGTCAAACAGGGAAGGACTCCGAGCTCTCTCCGACTCTCTCCAGGTTTCACTGGGATTTAGGCTGAGGGAGGACATATGCCCAAACCCAGCAAGAGAAGAGAAACCCCTTCCAGTCTCTAAAGAGGCTACGAGAGAGGGACTTAGAACAAGGCCTGGAGTGCCAGGACAAGGGGGAATGGCTTCCCAGTGCCAGAGGGCCGGGTTAGATGGGATACTGGGGAGAAATTCTTCTCTGTGAGGGGGTGAGGCCCTGTCAGAGAGTGCCCAGAGAAGCTGTGGCTGCCCCATCCCTGGGGGTGTTCCTGGAAGTGCCTGTGCAGCTCAGGGCTGTGTTGGGTACCAAATCTGTGCAGTGAGCTGCTGACCCAGGCTGTTCCTGCACTGAGGAATGTTTCTTCTGAACATTCCTGAACGTTTTAGGCAGGAGAAGGTGAAGCCAGCGTTCCCCTGCTGCTCTGCTCTCTGGGTTTTATGTAACACCAATGTGTGCCTGGCCGGGCAGCAGCAGGGCAGGGCTGGGGCTGCTGCAGATGTGACCAAACGAGGGGAGACAGCCCTTCCCAGGGGAGGAGGGCAGCCTGGCGTCCCTGGCTCTGGGGGCTGGCTCCCCGGGATCTGCTCTGCCTTTCCCATCACCTTGGATAACCATCAGCAGCCCTGGCCTGGCTTTGATCCCCACTGGAGCTTTGGCTGCAGCCGAGCTGGGGAGGCTGGTGGGCAGCACAGCAGGGCCAGGGCCTTCCCTTCTCCTGGCTGGGGGTGCTGGTGCTGTGTGGGGCACGGGGAGGTTATCCCCTCCCTGGGAAACCTGCAGGGCTCCCCTGTGGTTCTGGGGGGCTCCTGTGGTGACCAGTGGTGGCCATTCCTTGCCAAGGGGCTGTTGTTTTATTTGCCATATTACAGGAGAGGTTGGTCAGGGCTCATCCTGAGCTCTGCTCTCCTTCCTGGCTGTGGAGGAGCCCGGGATACCCCTGGGCTGGGATCCAGCGGGGCCCTGCCTGGCTGGACACGGCAGCCAGCCCCCCTGGGTGACACACGGGGCTGGGTGGGGGCTGCAGGGGCCAGGAGGGGACAGTGCCTCCCCCGGGGCTGCTCCAGGGTCTGCCAGCTGCCTCGCAAGCAGCAGTTTCTGGGAATGAGGAAAAGTTGTCCAGGCTGAGGATCCCTGGCTGCTTGCTCTGCTCATTTTGCCGCTGTGCTGTGATGGGGTTTTAGCAGGTTTGCCTTGAGTCTGTTCCTCAGCTCAGATGCTCTTCCCCTGCTAATCAACCTAACTTCTTTTTTATCCTATCCCATTTCTAGCTATTCTCCCTCGTGATTGCCTAAGCAAATCCTCCCTTCTCTCCATATTTACTCCTTCCAGGTATTTCAGCCTGCTGCATCGATCCAGCACAGTCCTCTCTCTTCCCTGACCTTTCCTTTCTCTTTTCTCACTGCTCTGTACCACTGGTCCTGACCAATTCCTCCTTGGGATGAGAGCTGGAGTTGGCACAGCCCCTCCCTGCTCTGCATCCCTCCTGGTGCTGGGTGGAAGCGTGCCTGCCATGTGCTCCTCTGGGCTTTCTGGCCCCAAAATTCATGGCTGTGCTGTGCTGGTGACCCCAAGGCAGCTCCAGCCTGCTGGGGGTCCCCTCTTATCCCTGGGGCCAGCCCTTGGCTCAGCCTGGTCGGTGTCAAACACACAAAGAAGGATCTGGAGTGATGATCCCTGTGGTGGAGATCAGCACTGCCCTTGGCTCGTGTTGCCTGTGTTTGCACGTTCCAGGCTGGGATGGGAGGTCTGAACTCATTTCCCAGTGAGGCTGTGGTTATCAAAGGCTCGGCTGGAGCTCGCTGCTGCTCCACCTGCGCTGACAGCAGCGTGTGCCCCTCGCAGCTCGGGGCTTGACATTTCTCAGCTGCTCTTTGATCTGCACCTCCCTGAGGAGCTGTCACTGTGGCCTTGGGGAGGTGGCAGGGCTGCGTGCCCTGGCTTTCTGTGCGGGACGACAGCGGCTGCTCGAGCTGGGACTTGGCAGCAGCTCGTTCCCTTTTCATCTGCTCGTGCTCCCAATTCTCTGTCTGACCTGTGGGGTGACTGGCTTTGGCTTTGGCACGGGCACTGCCCGCCGTGGCTCCAGCCCCGCTTGGTGCCCGCTTGGGGGTCCCTGGCAGCCGGGGGTGCCCCAGGAGCGGGCAGGAGCCCCGGCAGCATCCTGGCAGAATCCCAGCAGGCAAAGCCCCTGCCCGTGCTGACACTGCTAATTAGGTCAGCAGCTCCTGGTGAATTGGAAGTGGATGCGGGAGGCGGGGGGGCGCGGCACGGGGGAGTTATTTGAGGCCTCTCCAACCTAGAAACCCAGAAAAGATTTTCTGGAGCTGTTGGGTGGCTCTGGTGAATGCCCTGGCTTTGGGCACGACCACCGCCCTGGCTGCCTCCCTGCCTGCTTGGATCACAGATAGGTCCTTCAAACTAGGAATTTTATTTAGATGATTCTTAACCTGTGAATTTAAAGCTGACAACCTCAATTAATCAAGATCTCAGTTTACAGTGCAGTGCTTGAGTGGTTCATGCTTGTCAGTGGGGTCCTGGGGAAGCTGCTGAACCTGGCAGGGAAGCACCTCGCCCCAGCCCTTACAGGGGATCCGGTCATGCCAAGCTGAGAAAAGTGTTTGGTTGTGGTTCAGAGTGTGAGGTGGCTGAGATTTCCCCCATTTCTGAGGAATGGAGATGAGAGCAGCAGCCCTGAGGTCCTGGTGGGCACCTGGCTGCAGGTGAAGCCTCCCTCCTGGGTAAGGCAGAGCTTCTCCTTGGAATGCAGTGCCAAGATCTTACACTGTGCTTTGTGTGTTACTTTTCCCCTGTGCATCTGGCATATATAACAGGCTTTTTATTTAAATTTGCCTTTCTGGGCGTTATCTGAAAGCCCACTGTCATTCTGAGCAAACCCAAACTGAAAACCACCTCGTGAACAAGGAGTGTCGCTCGCCATTTTGTGATGGAATAAAATCAAGGCTCTGGATAAATCAATGGCACACGGAGCATATTTACATAAAGTATATAAAGCTCTGAGTACTAAGTTTAGAGTGTGGGCTCTGCGCTCGCGCAGCGGCGTGTTCCGACTGGCTGAGACAAGCCTTTCCTCAGCACAGGAATTAGCAGGAGCCTTGCAAAACCAGCCTGAGAGCAGGGGTGTAAATCAGGCTTGTGTACCTGCGTATTTAAATCCTGCTGAAAGCTGGAGCTCTCACGCTGCTAAGATCAGGGTTTCTCCCTGTGTTGTGGTGTGTCTGGGCTGGAGCCTTGCCCGCCCGCCGTGCCTGACCCAGGGATGGGGATCCTGCAGGGAATCGTGGCGGGATGGGCCTCGTGCTACTGAGCCAAATTAGCCAGAGCTGAGCTCTTTTCACTCCTCACCTTCTCATTCTTGATGGCCCAGTTAGTAAATTAAGCAGGATGATGGGGAAAAATGAAATTAATTAAATTAATGGGCATCCTGCTATTTCAGGTGCCGTCAGGGTTGCGCAGAAATGGGGCTCTGCAGGAGGGGGAGCGTTGTCCTGCCCCTTCCCCTGGGGTAAAGGCTTCTTGTGTAGCTGCCCGTGGTGCAGATGGGTGTGGGCAGCAGGGCTCGGTCCATCCCAGGAGTAGCTGTGCTGGAGGGGCCAGGGGCACTCCAGGCTGGCACTGGGGCATCTATTCCCCAGCTCCCATCACCGCTGCCAGGCTGCTGCCTCTGGGCTCTGTCCCTGCGCTGTTCCAGGCTAATAATACCCGGGAGGAGGTGGCGTGCTGCTGTCCCAAGCCTTCCCCAGGGCATCCTCCCCCTCCTCCTCCTCCTCCTTCTCCTCCTTCAGTGCCTGCATCACTCCTCTGGGGCTTTGTGTGCCCAGGGCTGCTGCTGCCTCTTCCTGCACCACGCTGCCCCAGCGCCTCTGTGCTGGCACAGCTCGGCTGCTGCCCGGCGTCCCAAGTGCCGTGCCCTGTGTCTCTGCCTCGGGGTGATGCCATCACTTCCACTTGTGTGCCCAGTAGCATCAGCTCAGCTCCCTTTCACTTATTTCTCCTTATGGCCACAGGCGTTTGCCCTGGATTTTCTCATTTTGGAGGAAAAAATTCTCTTTAAAATAGGGTTGTTGGTTGCAGACTGGGTTTTGAATCCATTTCTCACTGACGTGCTTTCCTTCACTCAGGTTGGTGCAATGTGGGGAGGCCCAACACCTGCTGGCTACAGCATGAGCCCTGCACTGGGTTTTCCTCTTAGGGGTTGCTCGGAGCAGGGTAGGAGCCAGGAGCAGGTCCAGCCCCAAAATAATCCCCCTTTGAAGTCTGGAATGTCACTGAATCTTGCTGCTTTTGTTGGTTTGCTCCATTTTATGTACTCTTAATAAATATTGTAGCATGCTAAAAATAACTGATAACCGTGAAGAAGCAGCGAAGCTGCTTTGGGCCCTGAATTTCCAGTTTAATTCCCATCTCAGAGAAGCTTGGGCTGCCTGAAGCAGGTCCAGTCCTGCCTGGGCTGGGGGTGTTGTGGCTTCCCAGTGTTGTGCTCCTACTGTGCTAGGGAAGAGGTGGTGGCAAGGAGGTGTCACAGCGTGGGACAGCGATGGGCAAGAGGTGCTGCTCTCAGCGCCTCGGTGGCTGCTCCCCTGGTGCCACATGGCAGATGGAAGCTGGGAGCATCCAAAGGGATGAAGGGAGGAGGAAGTGGCCAAGTCAGGGAGCTGGGGGCACCTCGTGTGTTCTGTATTCAGGGAGGCTGGTGGTCCCTGGAGTCCCCTGTGCCACCTTTCCATCACACAGGGCAAAGCAACTGGGTTCCCCCAGCCCAGCCTGTGTGGCGCTGGCAGAGCCCAGCGTGGCACAGCCGTGCTGGCACCCATCACGTCGGGAGAGGAGGAGCTTCCAGCTGCTGGCACTGGCAGGGCCAGTGTCTGCCAGTCCAGGGTGTGGCACCAGGGAACAGCCAGGGCGTCCTGAGCCAGTGTGTGGCACTGCCCTGGCACCAGCTCTGCGTCCCCTGTGGTAAACACAGACTGAAGGCACTGCTGGCCCTGTGTGTGGCAGGGTCCCTGTGCCACCCCTCGGCAGCAGGCAGGGACTTGGAGCTGCCAGGACGAGTCGGGGGCTGCGGGGGCCGCTGCCAGTCCCAGGCTAGCGGGGCAGCCCCCGGCAGCGCCTCCGAGCCCGGGTGGTGAGCGGGCGGCCGCTGGGTACAGCTCGTCCCGTGCAGCCCACGGGCTGAGTCAGCGCCTCTGCGTGGGGGGCTCCGATGAGTAAGGGCGGGCTGGGGGCTGTGCAGGCACACGTGTGTGTCCCTGTGTGTGTCCCCGTGCGTGTCCCGTGCGTGTCCCTGTGCGTGTCCCGTGCCGGGGTCCCGCCTGCCCCTCTGCAGCGCTGCCGGCAGCCCCCTCCCTGCTCCTCTCCCTGTTCCAGTACATCGAAGCCATCAGCAACAAGCAAGGGGAGCTGGAAAACTACATCTCTGATGGCTACAAGACAGCTCTGACGGAAGAGAGGAGACGGTTCTGCTTCCTGGTAGAGAAGCAGTGCGCGGTGGCCAAGAGCGCCATCACCTACCACGCCAAGGTGAGTGGGACCCGCGGCTGCCCTGGCACTGGGTGGGTGCTCCCAGCTCAAGCTGCATCCTGTAGAACAGCTTGATATCCCAAAAGCCACAGCTGGTGCAGCCCCTGCAGCTCAGGGACCGAGGGGGTGATGGACCAGCAGATGATTCCAGGGCAACTGCCCCTGTAGGAGCAGCTGCTCCAAATCCCTCTTGGCCATGGTGCTCCACATCCCTTCCGCCCATGGCTGCCCCCATGTCCTGGACCAGGGCTGGAGCTGCCCCCTGGCTGCCTGGAAAGCTGCAGCAGCTGCATGGGTCTGGAGCAGAATCCATCCAGACAAAGGCTGGTGCTGCTCCTGCAGCCTCATGCTCCCGTTCTGGTTGTTCCCCACCACCTCCATGGCTCACAACAGCCATCTGTCACTGCCACGCTTGGCATTGGAGCAGGAGAGGGAGTTGGGATTAGTCAGCTCTGTCCTGGCACATCCACAGCATGGATCCACGCTTGGCTTGGTGAGTGGAGTGCAGGAGGGAAAGAACACCCCCCAGGGCTGGCGGTCAGCAGGAACGAACCAAAACCTTGCTGCAGCAGCACGCAGAGGCTGATTTTGGAGGAGGGGCTTTACTGGCAGCTTGTCCAGAGCATGGTGTGTGTCCTGCTAAAATACTCCATCCTGCTGCTCCCCAGGGCTCCTGCAGGATGCTCCACAGGATCAAGAGACTGGACCTGCTGGCTGGTGTTGGGGAAATATGCAGGGACTTTGAAATTGGATTTAGAGGGGATTTTGATATGCAGAACCACATTTTGCCTCCAGATGAGGCAGAGCAGAGACATAGTGTCACCCTTGGCTGTATTGGGGAGTGACCTCGAGGGGTTGGGACACCTTCCCCCTCTGAGTCACACAAGGGGATGCTCATATATTCTGGGTGAATAAGGATAAGTTTGGCTCCATCTAGTTCCCCCTTGGAGCATGGTAGCAGGTGGCTGCCAGTCCTGCAGGCAGGGAGCAGTGGGGCTTGCATGCAGCACAGGGGCCCGGAGGTCACTGGGGCTGAGCACCCAAAGGAAGCAGCTCATCCCTCAGGACATGGGGACAGCCTGGAGCACGGGCTGTGCCCTGTCAAGGTTTTGGGCCGGTTTTATTTCTCTGCTCCACGTGGGGCCCAGCTCCCTGCAGCCTGGAGACGCTGCACACAGGATATCTGGGAATAAACTGGAGAGATGGATTACCTTTTCCTTCCCTCATTCCCATTTTTCATGATACCTGCCTGGCTCTGCTGCCATCAGAGCCTGGGAGCGGGATGTCCCTGTGTGTTATCTTGCCTGTGCCATGCACAGAGCCATTGATCACTCCCAGACCAGCTCAGCCCTGGATCCATCTGGTGCTGCCCAGGGAAGGGGGGCAGACCACCTGCACCCCTGTGCCCTCACACCTCGTTTTGCTCTTGCAGGGGAAGGAGATGCTGACGCAGAAGCTGCCGCTGTGGCAGCAATCCTGCTCGGACCCCAACAAGATCCCGGAGCGCGCCATACAGCTGATGCAGCAGATGGCTGCCAGCAGCAATGGCACCATTATGCCCAGCCCTCTGTCCACATCCAAGTCCAACCTCATCATCTCTGATCCCATCCCTGGTGCCAAACCTCTCCCTGTCCCCCCGGAGCTGGCACCTTTTGTAGGAGTAAGTATCTCTGGTGGAAGCTGTGCTGCCCTTCTGAGCAAAGCCGGAGGGACGAGGCCAGGCCGGTGTCACCGCTGTCCTCGGCAAGTGGCCCTTGGATGGACTGTCACTGATGGCAGGGATGGGCAGCTCTGTGCTGGGCTGTCCTGGGATGTGGGGAGGAGCCTGACCCTGTCCTGCCCCATCCCACCAGAGGCACTGAGCTCTGGCAGAGCAGGGGCTCCCAGGCGCTGTTTGGGGACACAGGAGCTGGACCTGCCTGTCCAGGCTGGTCCCTGAACTGTGGGATGAAGGACCCTTCAGAAGAGGGTGTCCCACTGATGTGGGAGCTGAGCATAGAGCTCAGCAGGGAATTGTCAGGTTCAGGAGAGCTCAGAGCAGTAAGACACCATAGAGGTGACCCCACTGCTCTGCCCAGAGCAGTTTGGTTTGGCTGGGAACTAAACACAGCAGGACGAAGCTCCAATTTGCCTCTCTCCCTGGAACTGTGTCCCACTGGGGAGCTGCAGTGGGATGGCCCTGGAGCTGCAGGGGATGCCCTAATGAAGCCACTCGGTGTCCCCCTCCCCTCCTGTCTCGCAGCGCATGTCGGCGCAGGAGGCCATGCCAGTGATGAACGGAGTCTCTGACAGCGACGGGTACAACCACTGGTCTGAGATGAAGCCAGCACAGCCCAAATCTTTATCTCCTCCCCAGCCTCAGAAGCAGCTGAGTGACTCTTACTCCAATACACTCCCAGTTCGCAAAAACGTGCCACCGAAAAACAGCTACGCCTCAGGTGAGGCCCCGGCCCTGCTGCCGGGGGCCCTGGGGCCGGCCCTGCCTGCAGGAGATGTCCAGGGAGCCGGCTGGGAATGGGTGTTGGGGTGCTGGTGGTGAGGGGACAATGACCACAGCATCTCTTCAGTGTCAAGTGCTGCTTGTGCCTCCTGACCTGGGAGTTAGGAAATGCTGGAGCTGGGCTCTGCCCTGGGGTTTCACTGGATTTTCAGGAGGAAAATCTTGTGGAATCAGGCACAGGGAACCTGCTCCCTTTGCCATGGCTGGTGGGTGATGCCGAGAGCCTGATCCTGCTTGTTGAGGGGGAAGGTGTGAGTCACACTGAAGGTTGTAGTACAACCTGGGCTGAAATAAGGAGGGGTGGGGACCTGTCCTGTGTCTGGGGGTGGCCTTGGGGTGAAGGATTTGGGGCACCCACTGGTGTCTGTTCCC